GACTCCCCTACCAGAAACTCCCTCCTATCCTGGCTGAGATCAAGCCATAGGAGTGGAACACGCAGCTCACAAGATTCTGGAAGACCAAATGAGGCCTCAGGTGCGACGCCTGTCCAGAGGAGAAGCATCGCGGGGCCTCTCGGCTTTGAGTCCACACACATGCTGCCTGCTGGGGCAGGAGGTGGGCGTCTCACCCTGCCCCTGTTCTGGGTGGCGCCCCCCATCTTCCACAGGGTATCTCTGTTTTGCTCACCTGGCTGCCAGCAGCAGCAGGTCCCAACAAGGGTCCAAGGGCAAGGATCCATTTGGGGGAACAGCAGGAAGCCCCAGCAGCAGGGTAGAAAGTGGGACAGGCCAGGTGTGATGATGCACACCTGTAATATCAACATTCCAGAGGCTGAGGCAGGAGGATCACTGTGGGTTCAAAACCAGCCTTCACTGCAAAGTGAGTTCAAGACCAGCCTGGATGGGCCTGGGGAGCTAGCTCATCTGTCTAAGTTCCTCCTGGCAAGTGCAAGGACCTGGATTTGATCCCTGGTACCACGTGCTCCGCTGGCCACTGAAACCGAGTGTGTCTGTAATCCCAGTGTGAGTATGAGCTGCGTGGCAAATCTCTGGACCAAAGAAATAAATAAAATATTAAGAAAAAAAGACCAGCCTGAACTGCATAGGGAGACCCTGTCTCAAAAACGAAAACAAAATAAAACAAGACAAAAAAGATTGGCCCTGGAGGGGCTGGGGAGATGGCTCAGTGGAATAAGTGCTTGCCTGGCAAGCACAAGGGCCTGAGTTCAATCCCCAATTCCGCAAAAAAAAAAAAAAAAAGAATGGCCCTGGGCAGGACGTGGGCCCACTTGCTAGTATTCTTTTCTCTGTTTTCTTTCTTTTTCTGAGGTAGGGCTGTTAGGCTGGACTTGAACTTGCTGCCTTGGAGTCGAGCACCACTGTTCTGCTGTCTCAGCAGGCCGCTGGCACGGAAACTCAAGCCCGGTAATAAATTGGAGGTGCAAAGTTTAATGAAGGGCAGGGGCTGGTGAGATGGCTCAGTGGTCTAAAGCACCTACTTAGAACAAGCATAGCAAAGCACAGGGACCACGGTTCAATCCCCCAGCACCACATGCCAGCCAGCCTGCCCCCTGGTGGCACACACACACACACACACACACACACACACAAAATAAAAAAAATAAAAAAGTGAAGGGCAGACACTTTGTAAAGAGAAGGAGGGAACAAGTAGACAGCTACCCTGGAAAGAATCCTGGCTGGCGGCTTTGGAAGGATGGGAGACCCTGGTACTTTGTTTTTAGCTGGGCTTTTTGTTTGTTGTCTTTTTGAGACAGGAGTCACGCTCTGCATTTCAGGCTGGACTTGAGTTCACTATGTAGCCCAGGCTGGTCTCAGACTCACAAGGATCTCCCTGCCTCAGGCCCACAAGCCAGGTATACCATCACACCTGGCTTTCTTAGCTTCTTCTTCTTCCTCTTCTTCCTCTTCTTCCTCTTCTTCCTCTTCTTCCTCTTCTTCCTCTTCTTCCTCTTC